AATAAAGTAACTTGTTTTCAAAAGTGTGTTATTAGTAAACTGTACATAATGCACTCTAAAGCATTCAAAAATAAACTTGATTATTTGTGTTTTACATTTGTTTTAATATCTTCTACTAAGTATTATAACGCATTATATTATTTTATTATTTTGTCAATTTGCTAACTTATATAACTCAAACACAGTGAACACATTTTAGTTGATTAAGCATGCTAAATAAATTATTTTAAGCATGCTAAATAAATTATTAAATTGTTTTAATATATAAAAATTCTATGTATATAAATAATATGCTGAATTACTAATTAAATTGATTTAGTATCTTCAAAGTATTTAATAATAACAATAATAATTGGCAACAAGTGAAACCACCAACTTAGCAGAATTTTTCATTTTAGAGGCAATCAACACTCGTGCAAAAAACGTAAACAAGTCGAGAGGACCCAAATGATTATAATTTTATTAAAATTGTTGAAAATATATGTCTACCTTTTTGCTGTCATGTCAAGAATATTTTCCATAAAGCATAGACTTTTTATTGACAAATTAACATATCACATGGGTGCTGCTCATAAGTTAAAGTTTAAATTTAAAAGTTTGATCAGAAGTAGTGTTTTTAAAATGAATCGTTCTTTACATCCAATTCTGCTGCTAATAAAAGTATATGTAGTAAACAAAATTGATTGAAAGATCTGCATTAGCTCTAAGAGAAGTAGGAAGTATTGGACAGGAATCAAATTCTTTTATTTTCTAGATAGTACCATTAGGAGTTTCAAACTCATCTACTTCTTGAAGGTAGAGTTTGCATATTTTACATCGAATCTCTTTGCATTTAAATATGCCAATCTACTTATTATTTGCTTCAAATTTTGAAGAAGTAAGTCTTCTTAATAAGTTAGGAGGTTGTTTAAAAGCTAATACCGGATGAATATTAGAAAAAACATTTTTGACTCTTTCATTCTGAGATACTTTGAGTAAAAGGTTAGTTTCTGTTATTAAAGGTTGACAATTGAGATTACTATAGAATGTTGTCACTAAAGGAAATATTTCTTTAGACTTTTTTTGTGAAGTTGGTCCTTGTAGTTTTGCGTTATGGAATGCTTTATCTATAATTACATCAGGATATTCACAATCTTTCAACCATGACTTTAGTTCAGCTAGACGAAGTTTTTCAATTTCGTAATTAGATGTAAAAACAATTATTTTTTTAGCTACATTATAAGGAATATTCTTTTTGATGTGTAATGGATGATGGCTGTTATAGTTTAAGTAGTCATGAGTGTTCGTTTCTTTATAATAAATGTCTGTTTAAATTTTTTTATAGTTTTCAAGAGTAATTGCAATGTCTAAAAACTTAATTACACTGTAGGTGTTATCATTTTTAGAAAACTCTTTGTCAAAATCAGTTGTAAAACTAATTGATTCATTTAATTCAGTTAGAGAAATTTTAAAATTTATGATATCAAGATGTTTTGGCCAGATTATAAAACCATCATCAATATATCTAAAATAAAATTTTTTTATATTATCTACTTCACAGTTTGAAAAATACTGAGGTAAAATTACTGGAAAAAGGTTAGTCTCTTTTAGAAACCCAATAGTAAGACAAGCATAATCTGGCGTGAAATCTGTACCCATGGCTGTACCAGTTGTTTGGTGAAATAATTGTTTATTGAATATAAAATTATTGTTATTTAAAATAAAAGATGCTGACGCAATTATGAATTCAGGTGTAAATCTTTTATCTATCAATTCTTTATATTTAAATATCCAGAACTTTAGGGCTTCTAAACCAAGATAATGTGGGATGCTTGTGTAAAGATTGACATGAAGATGTCGCATGTCATTATACGACTTTCTGATTCAAACTCTCTTGGAATTTTTCTGAGGAAATCCCAGTCATCTTTAATGAATAAATTTTTTGTTTCTTTACAATTGGTGATAAAATTATATATAAAAACTGGCTCAAACGAGGTGTTGGCAAATTTATTCCGGCAATAATTGGTCTACCTCTAAGATCTTTTGGTGGTTTCATTTCAATGAATAAAGAGTTGGACTCTTTTACCTTTTTAATGATTACTGGGCATTTGTGAATTTTAGGAATTACATAGAAATTACTAGATTTCCATTTAAAGGTTTTGATATATTTTATTTCATTCGTTGTGAGGTATTTATGTTTGTTTATCAATTTAATAAAATTGCTAAAAACTATTTTATCTGATTCAGTACTTATTTTTTCATATGTAACAGAAAAAAGATGGTTTTGATAAACAAGTTTGTTAGTATAAAATGTCGAATCCGTTACAACTAAAGTATTACCTTTGTCAGCTTTTTTAATGACTATGTCTTTCATTTCTTATAATTCTTTAATCGCTGCTCTTTCTTCTTTTGTAATGTTATCAATATATTGGACTTTAATAGGTTTAGTTTGTTCAATTTGTGAAATAATTTAGTTTAATTCTGGCAGAGTGGTTTTGGTACAATAATTAGATTTATTTTTAATTATATTAATATCGTTACTTGTAGCACCATAAAATTTTTCTTTTAGTATAAGTTTCCTAGTAAAATTTTTAATATCTGAATCGATATGTAAGAAATTACCATTTGTGGCTGGGCAAAACTTTGGACCTTTGGTGAGAAGAGATATTTGAGAAGATATCAAGTGTTTGGTGGATAGGTTGATGACCTTAGGTTGTATTTTTTTGTACTTGGGCTTGTCCAGTTTTTTGACGGTATTGATTTTGTTTGTTGGTCATGGTGGATGCCATCGTTATTTGATATAATAGAACTTACATCAATATTATTATTACTATTTTGCTATAATACCATAACAGCACTACTGATGATTTTTTGAGAGGCCTCTAGTGCTTGAAGTTTGTTTAATTAGTTATATAAAAATACTTTGTATTAGTGTATTTTTTGGAAAAATAAAAAAAAATATTTTTAGTAATAAATATTTTGAGAAAAAAAGATTTACTTTTGTTTACTGGCTTGACTATCTTTTGCTTTATATTGGTTAAAAATCATATTTCAAGTTTATATATATATATATATATATATATATATATATATATATATATATATATATATATATATATATATATATATATATATATATATATGTATATATACACATGTATATATATACATGCATATATGTGTGTATATATATGTGTGTGTATGTAT